CAATGTGCAAAAACTGACCTTGTCCTTGGTGTCATGGAGCCTACGGTCTGGAAGATGGACTGTTGTATTGTTGGGAAATGGTAAAAATATTTTTTGAAGTATTTTTGGCATGAGATGGTATGTAGGAAAATGAGGTGTAATGTCTTTGTATGTCAGATCTTGCTGATCTGTTTCTCATAGGAGGCAGAATAGAGTGTGAGGATCACAGGAGTTAGAATATGACTAATGCTTAAGACCCAGGTAAGACTGACTAAGCACTTACTATCACATATCGTGTGGTAAAAGATTTATTTTTCAAATCTTCCTTACAGACTCAGGAAGATGATTATCTCTAATTTTATCTTAAATCCCACCTGCAAGCTCCTTCTAGTAGCTGGGCTGCCATCGTTGTCTTGCTCAGACTTCAGCAGCAGCCTCCTACCTGGTCTGTTTGCATCTTTGCTCTGCCCAGTCTATCCTCCACCTTCTAGCCAAAAAGTTCATGCTCCTAAATTCGTAGTTGCTCTTGCTCTTGTAAATATTGCCATGAGCTAAGCGACTTAAACCAACACAAACACATTACCTTACACTTCTGGAGATCAGAAGTCCAAAATCAGGTTCACTGGGCTGAAATAAAGGCGTGAGCAGTGTTGCTGCACCTTCTGGAGGCTCTCAGGACAGTCTGTTTACTTGCCAGGTGGCAAGCCACTTACCCCCCAGATTCCAGAGGTCACCTGCGTTCTGGGACTTCTGGTCCTGTGTCATTCTGACCACTGCTGCTGCCACCACCTTTTCTCCTTTGGCTCTTTGTGCTTCTTTCACTGTTAGGGACTCTTGTGACTATACTGGATCCACCCAGATAGTCCAGGATGATTTCTCCAACTCAGGGTCCTTAAGTATGTATGTAAAGTTCCTTCGATGTATAAGGTTACATAGTCACAGGTTTTGAGAATCAGGGGATGGACATCATTTCGGGGTTACGTACTTCCTGCCACAGTTCCTATCACATCCCTGAACAGTGCCTAAAACACTGAGGGAGGTGAGTATTCTTAATTGTGAGTAGAAGTGTCCAGCACAAAGCTTTTCTATGATTCCTATTACTTTTAGGATTAAAGACTAAAACTAGCCCTAACATGGCCTGGGAGGTCTCCGTGGCCGAGCTCAGCCCAGCGCTTGCCTGAGCCTCCAGCGTCTTCATGGGCTCCTCTCCTTGCTCACAGAACTCCCCTCTGTGTCCTCCTAGCGCCTCAGGACCTCTGCTTACACCAGCCCCTGTCACTCCCTTCAGACCCCTTTGCCTGTCTTTCTGCCTCTCACCCCTTTAAACTCTGCTCTGTTAGGGAGCATCTTGGCTTTCTCTCTGCTGGTCAGATATTCCACTTGCATGCAGTATTGGAGCCTGGACTTGTCCTTCACAGCACGTGATTGCAGCTCGCAATTGTTTGTTGGTGTTCTTTGTTTTATCTGTAAGCTTTGTGAGAGCAGTGACTCTTTCCATTGTGTACTCAATTCTGATCATTTATTCACTGCTCAGTAAATACCTGTTAAAGGAATGGACTTAAAATGAAAAGACAGTGTGCCCATAAAGTAGCTCTTGGTTTAGTTCATCAGCATAGTCTTGTCGCAGCCACAGGCAGAAACGAATTTTAGGTTATGGGAAGAGTTTGTTCAATAGGAGAAGGTAGGGGATTGTTAATTATTGAGTAAAGTAACAGATTTTCTATTTATAGTTATCAATAGTTGATTTAATTATTCAGTAGTTTTCAGACCCGTCTCTCATCTCTTTAAAGATGTGTTCAAGCCTTTAACTGTCTAAATGAATGTGTAAGATCTCAGAGGCTAAGAATTCCATTGAAATGCCAAGTGACCTTTATTTAGAGCTGATATCAAGGGCCAGAGGCTTCCTAGCTTGGGCCTGTGAGCTGTGGAACATCGAGTCTACAATGACGTTAGCCTCTGTTAGCGCTGATCTTCAAGAGAAGTTGGTCCAACTTCACTGCAGCCGCCACCACTCAGTGCTGTGGACTGTTTGTATTTGGATGTCAGGTCTTTAAGAAAATGTTTTACAACAGAAAAAAAATTGCTCTGTTTTGATCTGACTAAACAGTTGAGTTCCTTTAATTTTATATTTCATTAAATGATGAGTTTTCTATTTTATTTGAGCCTGACTTACACAAACATAATGAACATAGTTTCCCTATTTAACCTGAAATATTTCACCTTGATGTATCTAGCTTTGTTGCTAACTCAGTGGACTTCTTGAAAGAGACAGAACTTCTGGAATTCAAAAGTGCTTTGAAGTTTTGCTATTCAATTGAGACAATTACTTGAAAAAAAAAACAATTTAAAAGCATATCCCTGTTAAATTTTCTCTCAATCTATTGATGAATGTTCTAATTACTTATATCAGATTTCTTAAGTTAAATTTATCTGTATCTTATGTATATTACACACTATATGTACTTTCACACTATCTACTGCAAAATACTATTTATAGTTGAGTTTATCTGTTTCTATCTATAGTGTGAAAAATTCACTGATTCTTTTTCAACTTCTTTACTAGACCTGATTAAAATGGATACAATTGACTTAGTTTTCAGTTCTTAATTTTCCTATGAGGATTTATTAGTACTCATAAATAATTCAATCTTCTGTTACTAGCTTAACTTTAGTTGTTGTATAAGAACAATCAATACTCAACGTGTGCATATCTTCCTTACAGAGTATGTTGGATAAAGGACATTGTTGTGGCAGTAACTGGAGGGAACATGGAAGCAATGAAGGGTATTATTCAGAGGTACCAGCATAAACGCATCTCGCTGGTTGAAGCTGGAGTGACCCGCCACAGGTCAATTTTCAATGGACTGAAAGCACTGGCAGAGAGTCAGCCCAACTCCAGACTCTCTAGGCCAGAAGTAGTGATCATCCATGACGCTGTGAGACCCTTTGTTGAGGAAGATGTCCTCCTTAAAGTTGTCACAGCTGCTAAGGAACATGGGGTGAGTATTTGAATACTTCTGAGGATGAATAGAAGGAGCAAACACTATAGCAAATATTCATCTGCTGGATTTTGATAGAATTATATTTAAATGTCATTTTAACTAAAATGAGCATGATGACCTAAAGATGTTACGCTGATTTTTTAGGAAGTTTATACTATTCTAGATTGGGAGACTGCTCTGGAATTTCTTTTGCCATAGTTACTTATCATAATAGGAGCTATTTGGAGAAGAATGCAATAATGTCATTAGAATATGGGTATGAATGGTCCTTAACTACATATTTAAGTTCATTCCTTTATCTAAAAATGCCTAAGAAATCGTTTACAAGTCTAGGAACGACATGATTAAAAAAAAATCTTGGCTCATTTCACTCAAATTCTGTTTTAATTTTTTAGAAGTGGTTTATCTTCTGGCACAAACAGCCAGGCAAGCTTTTCACACCCCTTAAAGTGAATAGTCTCAAGATGACACAATTTTGTGTTCACTTCTCTTTCACCAAGATAAACACAAGATAGCAAAAGGCCTATTGTATTCTATCCAACATCGGTGTTTTCCTTAAATTACTGGGAAAAATCCAATAAACAAGGTAATAGATACAAAATCTAAGTTTGTAGTCTAAATTTGGGATTTAGTGAAAATTTATGGGTCAGACTTAGTATAGTATAATAGAAATAGGCTGTGGAGTTGGACAGACTTCGGCCCAATTCTTCATTTTTCTCATTAGTAGTGTAATATGTCCAACTTCCTCAACTTCTTTGAGCCCATTTTCCTTCTAAAAATAGAGATGCGAATTTGTCACATTGTTCGAATGATGGGAAATCATATGTTAACTACATAGAATGCTAAGTACTTGAAAGTGGTATTATTTTGAGAATAATTAGAAGATCTAAGAAATAGTTTCTTCCAGAGATTATATGCAAATGGAAAAAGGAGTCGTCTAAGCTTATCTAGCCATCTGGGTGGCCAGGAAGTTATAAAACACCCAACTGGGAAAGACGGTCTGTGATTTCTATTTAGTTATATGTATTTAGATTTTCCTGGTCAGGAAATTGACCCTAATTTCATCATCTTCCTACAACATGAATTTCTTGAAAATTTAGACCGTGTGAGAAATCCATAGATTATATGAAATATTTTTCTTATCTTTAATATAACTTCTAAGTGGTATTTTTAAAATTAATCTTTTTTAGGGGGGTAATTAGGTTTATTCATCTATTTAATGGAGGTACTGGGAATTGAACCCAGGGCCTTAGTGCATGCTAAGCGTGCACTCTACCACTGAGCTATACTCTCCCCCTACCCCCGGCTAAGTGGCATTTTCATGTAGTGAAAATTGTGGTTCAGGAATGTTAGTGACCATAACTGGGCAATGGCTCTTGTGTTTTCCTGTGATGTCTCCCTCTTCTCCAGGCTCCTTGATTGTGGAAGAGGCAGTGGGGTTAGTTGCAAAGGTGGTGAGGAGGAATAAAAGAGCAAAGGATTTATAACTTGTAAGAACTTACGGAAAACCTCACAAGTGTGAAAGTTGCTAGAGCAGACTATGTAATTTGGGCAGGAACTTCGAGATTGTAATATGTACTATAATACAAATAACATAGGCAAAAAGCCATACTTTTATCTTTTGGAAAAATATCACTTAAACTCATTGTGAAAATCAAACATTTGAAATTTTTTGAATATTGAGAATTTCTAAGATTGTTTATGAAGTGATTCTTTTGGTAGTATGACTGAAAGGCAAAGGATTAATTTTGCTCCAGTTAACATGCTAAGAATATCATTTCAAAAGTGAATGACAAAATGCTAAAATGTTTAGCAGTTGGTCTTTTGTTAGATTTGTCAGAATTCCTTTTAGACTATTTGTAACTTTTAAGTTTGTTAATCAGAATATAATTTAGAAGATTTAATCACATTATGCAGTCTAAATAAAACTAACAAGTTGTATTTTAATGAAACCTGAAATTTTCTGATTACATTAGGAAGCTGGTTTAAGGCGAAACACTGACAACTAGTTTAAGTAAACTTGAGAAATCCCGTCTTTTTAAGAAATATTGCCTTGTTTTTGATGGTGTTAAGGGATAATTTTCAAAAGTGTGAAATTATTAGTTTCATACAAATGTAAGGAGCATGTTAAGGATTTTACTGCCCTCATTAATGAGGGAACCAGACAAACGTTAAAATCCAGAAAAGCACAAACTTAAATGGAGTAAAGGAGTGTTGAAATGAGTTCACAAATAGAAAAAACTGGTCTTTTTCCCCCACCGGAGGAGGGATGCTAGTTGAACTTGGCAGAACTTACTGGAAAGTTTATAGGCAAGAATAGTTTTCCATGCTATCAGTTGTCTATAATTTGAGAGTTGTAAAAGCACTCAAGGACGATGAAAGGCTGGTTTCTACTAATCTGGAAAGGTTTGCTTTAAACAACACAGTTTCCGATTGGAGACACTGACTTTACTTATTCTAATTTCCTTAGAATGTTTGGAATAATGACCCAGTAGCCTCAGGAAATCCAGGCACTACTTCCTGCCATCTCTCCTACACTGTTCTAAATTCTAATCATAAAAACAAAAAGGCAGTTAATTGAGACTTGAACTAGTAGCTAAAGTTCTTGAATTGGTGGGAGGTATTGGCATCCTTTTAACCTCGGGTCAATAAACTGAAAAAGACTGTTCTGAATCAAATTCTATCCCAAGAAAATAGTGATTTTGCTTAGAGCTACTTCACCAATTGTTTGCTGTGGATTACTTGGAACTCATTCTCCTTTGTTCTCTTAAATGGTGTTTTATAGACTCCTAGCTGATTGTCTTGTTTCCTTAGGTCTTAATTTTCCAGCCCTACCCAAAGGTACTTTTCAGATAAATCATTTCCTGAATAAGTTAGACACTGTAACAGCCTTCTAGGGGGATATACAGGCTTAAGATATTTTAATTTAGATTACATTTTGGTTAAAAATAATCCAAATTAATGATGACATAGTATTCAAGAGACTAAGATGCCCAAAATTAAGGCTGACATCAGGGTTGTCTGCAGACAGGAGATCAGCAGTGTCACCAGGACTCTGGTTCTTTCCTCTCCTCTGTGTTAAATTCTTGGGTCCCATAGAAGCGAGATGACCTCAGTAGGGCAGTGGTTAATCACTTTTTTAACTTTTACTTTTTCTTTTCTTTTACTTTGATTATCTTTTTACTTTTGATAGTTTGTCAGGGCATAAAATTCTATGTATACAGCTATTTTTTCCCCTAGTACCGTGAAAATATGTGATGCCATTGTCTCCTCACTTTAATACACCTTCTGAGAAGTCTGCTAACCAGTCTAATTGTGTCCCTTGAAAGTAATCTCCCTTTTCTGTCTGGTTGTGTATGAGTGTATTTTTCAGGTATTGTGCAATGTCCCTGATATGTCAAGGTGTGAATCTTTTTTCCTTTGCTTTGGATTTATTGCCCTTCATGACTTTTATAATTTTTAGCAATTCTAGAAAATTCTAAGCCATTATATTACTATTGGCCTTGCCCCATTTCCCAACTGACAGCTTTTCCCCCCTCGTTTCCCTTATGTATCTCTATATGTATGATGAGCCTTACCCTGTCCTCATGTCTCTTAACTTAGTAATATTTTTCACTTGTTCTCATGGGCTGCCTCCTGGGTAATTGCAGTTTTTTATTTCGTTCATCTTTAGCTCTAATCTCCTGGTAAAGTTTTTTTTTTTAATTTTACTAATTATTAATTTCTAGGAGCTCTGTTTGGTCCTTTTCAAATGTGATTAGTCTCTTATTGTGCTTTTATGTTTTGTCTTTCAGTATTTAAACATTTTATACATTGTAGTTAACAGTAATTCTTGGTAGTTTAATACTCCAACTCTTCAGCTCTGTTCACTTTTACTCATAATTTGTTTCTCTCCTGTGTACTTTGGATTGTAAGCCCATGTTTTGCAAGACTCAGCAGGAATCCATGGGGCATAGGATGAAGGTATGTTTCTGATGTATAAATTTGTGGGATCTCTCAGGGATCCCAAGGGCTTTATTAACTTGGAGAAACTTTGTTAACCCTTGGTATGAGATTTTGTAGATGCTATGGTGGTGTCAAACCAAACTTCAAACCCACATAAAGTAGATGTGTAGATGACTTTTTGGATGTCTAGGGGCACACTACCCCCAACCCCTTCAGACCCCAAGCCAGGCCAGACAGTTTTGCTTACTGTTTTCCCTGACTCAGTGTAGTGTTTTATACTCTTTAAATGAGTACATAACTTCTCATGGAAGCTTTTTTTGTGTATGAGGGCTGCAGTTCTAACTAACCAAGTAACACAGACTCGAGATCTAATTCCTCATTTCTTCTCATTTGCTAAAACTAAAGCCTCTTTTTAACCCAAAGCTTCTCTGCCATCTTTCTTCCTTGGTTTCTGGCTATGATGTTAGTCCTGGCTATGATGTTAGTCCTAACTTTTTGAGTCATATTGTTAAGAAAAAAAAAATTCTTTCTTAAAAGACACTCTTGAAAGTAAGTCATACTTTAAAAAAATCTGTTTATAAAGTCTCCTGCATTTAAAAAAAGAAGTTGCAATAGGTTTTTCAAGGTACCATATTGCTAAAAAGAAAAGTCCTTTAAAAGTATGAAGTACTTGTATATTTCTACATAATTATTAAGTCAAGAGATAGAGTAACAAGGGCATTGTTATAAGGGGTATGTTGGAAAGAGCGAAATAAGTTGGAACAGTGAAAAATAAGTGGGGAGAATCCTTTTCAGAAGGACTAATAAGCTAACTGTGACATATACTCTAAGAACTGACAGTAACAGCACTGAATTAAAAATGAGACTATCAGCAGAGCAACCTCCTAAAGATTTGCTCCTGAGGGAGGACATTTACTTAGTTAATTGCATATATTCTTTCCTGAACCCTCTGTTTTTGCATCTCTAATGAGGTTTTATCTTTTCTTCCCTAATCAGCTTCTTACAGTAACAGGCCATATTTACTGTCTTCACTTACCATTTACTCCTCAATG